CTACAAGACCCACTCCCTGGACACCCCCCCCCTCATCGAGCCGGCGCCCAGGTGAGTGCCAGCCTCCCCCCCCCGCGGCCCCGGCATCCCCACGCTGGACGCGGGGCCCCGCCGTGCCTGCTCAGGAAACGGCCCCTGAGGGCCCTTCCTTGGGAACCGCTTCCAACGGCGATCCTCCGCACTCCGGATCTCACCGGCCGTTCCGAGCTGCTCTTGCAGGTATATCGGCTATAGCAGTGCACGTCCTTACAGAGCCCGTGGGCATGTGCGAAGGTGCTGCGTGCATCTCTGCCCCCCGACTGCAATTCTCTCGCAGTGGGTGTGGCCTCGCTTTGTATCAGCCTGGCGGTATTGTCCTGCTCCTCGGGCGGTTGAGGACCTGGTTCACAGCTCTTCCACTCAGCGATCGAGATACAGCCTCAGAGCTGTCCGTCTCCGCGTCCACAGCGGTTAGAACAGAAAAGGCCTTTACGTGGTTAGGCTGTACCACCCTGTTAAGTTAGTTTTAACGCGTTCTAGGACAGCGTTTCCCAAGCTTCTGGAGTTCGCTTCCCCCGAAGAATGGAAATCGTAATATTTCTCCCAGCCTGGTAATGGCACTGTATGCCTGTGTCTGCATACTGCATGCACTACACTAAAAAATGCTGCTCTAGGAGGATGGAAAAATATGACATAGCTATGAGCTCATTCTTTGTTCTGTTCCCAACATGAGACATAACCTGCTGCTTGCATCAGTAAACTATTTTAGATTTATTGATGAACTTGCTCGCTCCTTACTTTGATTTATAAAGCTTTTCTCAGTATGTTATTTCAAAGCTGTTCAGCTTCCGGTTCAGAATGGAGTGAAAATAAAAGCTAGATAAATAGTGAGACACACACAGACAAACAAATTCAAATTAGTTCACTACTAAATTCAGCAGTTTAAAATGTTCCTATCATCTGCAGATTAAATAAGTTCTTAAGGAAAAAAAAAAGAGCTTTTTGCTCACGAGTTAAGCTTGGCTTTAAGCATAGTGATGTTCTTAACAGTCAGTAATGTCAAAAGTTGACAATATCTTGTCAAATTCCACAACTCAGATGGTCAAAAAAAATCTTTCTGCAGAGCTGTCAAGTGATGTAAGGGATGTGACAAGTCACTAGCTTCTAGAACTGTTAAAGCTGCTAGAAAGTCTGCACAATTGTGCTTTGGCTGGAAAGATGAATAGGTGAAGAATTTGCTCATCTTTCACAGTTGCAGGGCTACTTAAATGGAGCTGCCCAGCATTATGCGCATGTTTAAACTTGCAGATGGTTGGGAGGAAAAACCTACATTGAAGCAATCCTTATGTTTATCTCAATTCTTCCCTGAATATGGATGTGCTTTTCTGAAAATAAGAACCTGTTCATAGTCATGTATGGCAATAACTTATTTTGCTTTCCTCAGCCACTTAAAAACTCGGTGTCACTTAGCTGACCCCAACTTGCTCACTTCCTATTTATTTAGAATCTTGTGTCAAGCACATTACAAACATTTCAGAACCACATCACTTCAAGCTTTTGATTGCATATAGGAACTGGTGGTTGCTCCCCTAGCGTACAGAGACAGATTTGAGACCTTGCATGCTGTGGACTGACCTTTTTTTTTTTTAAACAGAGCTATTAATGGGATTGATTAGATGGTTTTGTTCATAGTATTTTTGTTCAAACTCTTGGAGAAAAATCAATGACACAGTTGATGGCTCAAAATTAAACTTAAAGGAGACTTCCTGCTAGAAGGGAGAAAGAAAGGTAGCATTTCCTGACTTTTTTTTTTAAAAAGGTAATGAACTGGACTTAGAATACGAAGGGTAGGCATATGCTTCAGAACTGTTATTGCTTTTTCTTCCTTATAAAAACTTGGCTTTTTTGGGAGGGGGGAATACTTTATTCAGGTTCTTGTATTCTTGAAGGCTTTTTTTTAAATACCGTTAAGGACAGGATGAGGAGATAGTTGTCATGATGAGATTGAACAAGTTTGTTGGTGTACAAGTTTCTTTAGCTGCAGGAGATGACGTTTATGCCAAAACAGTTGAAAACTAAATTTTCTATTTGTTTTCTGGCAATAGTGAGTTTTTACCATCATTGCAGATGTGCCTAGGCCCTTGCTTGTGTGGAGTGACTGGTCTCTAAAGTTTCTTCCTTAAAGAAACAATTATATTCCTATTTAAGGTTTCTGGAATATCTTAATAAAAAACACAACCAACCAACCATACTTAACTTCAGTCAACTTGGCAAGTAGCAGAAGAAAATTGAATTAGGCTAGTTGCATGCGTTCTTGTTGTTGTAGCTTAGATAACATCATATGGGCCAAAGCAGATATACTTTGAAGATAATACATAAAAATTATGGTGAAAATAGATTGCAGTGAAAATAGGAGTTTCATGTGATGAGCATTTTCAGACAATGAAGTGACAGTACTAGGTAGATCATGAGCAAAGTGATAAATGATGCGAATAATAAAGTAAAGGTCATATTGAGGTGAATAAGGCAAATAAGGCAAAAGAATATTTCTGGATGGTTACCTTTTTAACTTCTTATTCTGTTCTTAGCAGCGGGTGCAATACCTTGTAATGTGTTCACTATGAGGATGTCACTTTTATGTGACTCGGTATTTACATACCTAGTAAATAAATTTGAAAAAGTAATTTTTCTGTTAAAATATAAATTGTTAAACTCTTTGGGGTTTAAGTTGTATAAATAAGGTTAGGGAACTGCTGTCAGTGTTACCTTCCAGATTCATTTGGAGAGTTGAGGGGGAAAAAGTACATTCTCCTGAAAACACAGGGCCTGCCCATCTCCTTTGTTAGAGAAATCAGTTTCCAATATTTAGCATGACTGGCCACCCCCAGAATCCTGCATATAAACTGTAGGGTTTTTTTTTTTTTAAACAAAGATCCAGAACTACCTATAGCATCAGAAAGACAACCCTGGACTTTTAAGTGCTAGAAGAGTTAAACTAATACTTTATCATACCCTCCTCTAGCTTTTGCTCCCTTTTCCACTGTGTTCCCTCAAGTCTGGCAATTAGAGTTGGTGAATTCATAAGAGGAAAAATGGATGCTGAAGTTCAAAATAAAAATAGGATGAACTGAAGAGAACTATATAGCTCTCCAAGTGTCCCCTCTCCTCCCCAAAAGGTCACTCAAGTCCATTTCATTTATTTTTCTATATATGTGAACATCAGTGATTCTCCTTTAATGGGTATTCTGCTGTAAAATCTGATAGTTACTGGAAATGCAAAACAGTAGCTATTGATAATACCAAATCTTTTTTTAAACTCAGGTATCCAAGTCCACCCATAGGATCTGGAACTGCCCCTACTATGTCTGCTGCAGAAGAAAATGTGGAATATGTTCGGACTCTCTATGACTTTCCTGGGAATGATGCTGAGGATCTTCCATTTAAAAAGGGTGAGATACTCGTAATTGTAGAGAAGCCTGAAGAACAGTGGTGGAGTGCCAGAAACAAGGATGGTCGGATTGGGATGATTCCTGTTCCTTATGTAGAAAAGCTAGTCAGATCTTCTCATGGGAAGCATGGAAACAGGAATTCCAACAGTTACGGTATTCCAGAGCCTGCCCATGCTTATGCTCAGCCTCAGACCACAAGTCCCCTTCCTTCAGTATCCAGTACACCTGGAGCAGTGATCAATCCTCTGCCATCAACACAGAATGGACCAGTCTATGCCAAAGCTATCCAAAAAAGAGTACCCTGTGCTTATGACAAGACTGCACTTGCGCTAGAGGTAAGTTCTTGCCTTTAAGTCTCATGGTTTCCAGTTGTTCTTTATAAAATAAGAAATTAAAGTAGTTGTTTACTGACTTGGCGTAGATGACTTTATATGGAGTCTGCTTATATATGTTAAGGGACTAAGAAGTTTTGTTACATCCTGAGGAAAGATCTACAAAAAAAAAATTGCTTCATCTATACCACTTCCCTTTAGAAAAGGGTCTGAGTTACTTCAGAACCTACACCTAATTCATCCTATTTTCTTGCCTGTTGAACAGTGTGAATATGCTGCAGGGGTAGTGAGTAGAATGTATACCTTCTACTGTGGAGGTAAGTGCTAGTGGAAGGATGACTTTGCTTCTGCACCTAATCTTGGGGAAGGAAAGGGATGTTTAATCAATCATTGCAGTATTCCAGGCTGAAAACTGGCAGTAGCATCCTTCAGAGAAAGGTAAGGATTGCTGGTAAACATATCATCTTTTTCTTGATCCTCAAGTGGAGTATGAGATGCACATCGGTATCTGGTGCTGAGAGCTGAAATTTGGGCATGTCGGAAAATATAAACAAGTCAGGGCGGGGATCTTCAGAAGCACTCTAATCCCATTTACTTTGGATTTCAAAAATGGAATTTGAGAAACATTAAGAACTAAATTAGTTTTTTTTCCCTAAGATGATGGGCTGCAGTGTAGCCTATGTTGAACCTTTAATAAGTTCCTATGCTTGCAAAAACACTTGTTTTATTTTTATTAGGGATGTATTAAAGGCTTTAAAGCTTCATTCTTTAAATACTTAAGAATTCATATTACAATTCTAGTTAAACTGGTATTAAAGACTGATTGCAGCTAGTTTTTAAAATCATATCTAGAACATTTTTATTTAAGTACTTTGATTATGCCCAAGGCTGGTTAAGCCATACTTCAAAAGCATCTCACCTGGAACAGCAGCACTATTAGCACATTCAAATTTCATCTTTGAGAACAGTAACCAAGAGACTTCAAGCAGCAAGGAGGCAAGCATTTTAGCAAGTAAAGTAATAGCGATTTTAAAAATACTTTTGAACTTTTCTTGTTGCTTTTTCTCAGTTAGTTTGCAAGTTAAAGCTGTTATCTATAGGTAGTACTTTTGACTAAAGTTTGAAAGGTTATATGAACTTCCAGTTATTTATAAAGTAAGACCTCTACAGCCGATTACTCTTATGGGGTTAAAAGTTAAGTGTCACAGGATTTTTCCTGGGTTTTATGAAAGTTAGCAGTCTGTTACTTGTGAACCGTGTGTGTGAAAAGTCATCATGGGGCAAAGTGTAAATTCAGTGCCAAGTGCACTGTACAGATTCCTGCCAAAGCTATTCATGCTTCTGAAAACAGCAAGTGTTTGATTTTGTTGTGGTATTAACGTGTTATGGAATTAACTTCAAGGAACTTAGCTTTGCTGAGGGTAGCAGGACTCTTTGAGAGATGAGCCTCACAAGCCAGATTTTTCTGGCTCGCTATTTAGTAACCTAGTTAATCCTGTCATTTTAGCTACCCTAGTATGCTTGTAGGATTAACTTTGGCTAGCATGCAGACTTGAATTGTTTTGAAACTTTAAATTTTACTGAAGTGGTTTGAGAAATTTTCTTCCCTTCCACTGAATTCTTCATTGCTTTTTGCACTGTGACTTTGCATTTCCCACCCCTACTGTGTTTTGGCTATGTAGTCTCTCTTCTTCACAGATTTACCTTAGTCATGCTGTGGTTTCTCAAGAGGCTTCAAAAACAGCATTCAGGAAACTGATCTACCTTTTATTAAATCACTGATTACAGCTTCTCCATACCTATCCATGCATAGAGAACTTTAGCAATCGTATTATAGCAACTTTTTTTTGGTCCTATCTGCTACTCTTGAAGAATCTGATCCTCTTTTCGTGATCTTTATTCTACTTGCCTAACACTTGCTGGGCCCTGGTGATGCATTAATCCCAACCTTATCAAGGCCCTATATGTCACTAAACCTGAACCATTTCAGGTCACATGGTTCAACATCCCTGAAAATACCCGGGTTCACTTGGACTAGAAACTTCTACTTTTGTAAGAGCACTGAAAGCTGCTAGTGGTAGAAGGACGAACTGTGGAAATGTTTTGGGAAGAAAGCTAATGGTATTCTTTCAGAATAATCACATTTCATAACATTCTCCATCAGTACAGGTACACTCTGAATCACAGTTTAGCTTGTACTGATAGAAAACCTTATTGGTATAATCTGATTACACAGTGACTGATTGTGTAATCCCACTTAAACTGATAAAACAATATGAAAGCAAAATATCTGTTCACTGGCTTTAGCTTTATGGAGTCAGTACACAAACTGTACTTACAAAGATTAGAATATCATCAGGAGTAAGTCTATTGCATAGTAATGTGGTTGACTTTTAAGTGGAGAAGTGTCATTCTCCAGGGTTCAGTTTGAAAACGCGACAAACTCTCTGCTTGCAAGCCCATTTTTTAATCACACACAGTTGTTTAAGAAAAGAGATTCATAGCCTCTTACAGAGAGGAGGGTTGTTTCGTATGGAAGATTTAATTCAACTATAAAACAAACTTTCTCACACAGAAAAACGTAGCTTGTCAAAAGTGAGTATTCTGTTGAAAAACTTGTCGAGATCTGTGGGGTTGGATAATGGCTATTTAATTTGAAATAGCATTTAAAGTGTCAGAGTTTAAGGACAAATAAGTTTAAGAGTGTGACTGCAGTTTTCCTATAAGGATACAGGAATGGTTTGACATTATGGCATCTATTACCATTTGGACTTTATTGGACTAAAACTATTTAGCGTTCACGGTTATATTACTGAAGTGGTTAAAGTCTAGATGTTAACTGGGTGCTACTGCATTAGATGCTCTATGTTTATTCTCTAAATTAAGAATTTAGAGAGTAATATGTAGGTTAAAATATAAGTTTTAAATGTAGCTACTATCTCAAAGAGTATAAAGTTTTAGTGATTTATCTGATATGGCAGTTATTATACACAAAACCATGGACATCTCCCTGCTCCAGTGAGCAAATAAGTAAAGCCTATGCTAAGTTAATTGTATTACTAAGATTGACATATTACTGTTGCCAATTGACTAGCTTACTTTGGCGGTTCAGATTTAATGGGCTTTAATAAACTGATTAAATTCTGCAGTTTCTCGTTGCAACTAAGTGTTATTACTAACATGTAGTATTTTCAAGGATACCACACACACACTTCAAATCTTTTCTCAGTCATTTACTTTTAGCCAAGACACTAAAAGCTTCCTTCCCTCTTGGTGTTTTAGAGGAAGGAATATGAAGGACAGGAACACAGTGTCCTATATTTATTGGAACTCTACAGCGTTGCGTTCTGCTGTTCTTCAGTCCTTTTCTTTGGGAAAACTAGGTAGGAAATCTTATATTCAAAGGTTATACAGAATACCTAACCCTAAGTGATGAATTTAAGAGCAGAGATTCCTTGGCACTGTTGCTATGCTACAGAGTGAAGTCTACCTGAAAGTTTCAGTATGAATAATTCTGTAGTTCTGTAGCCAGCCTTTTTGACTGCAACATGCTCATGAAGCATGCATTAAACTGGCATGCATTAACCAGCATATGAAGTCTGTGCAGGGCCTCTTAGTCCAAGACCTAATGTATTTTACCTTAGAAAACTCTTGGTAGTTGGACACCTCTTACTTGCACTCAAAGAAGTTGGTTGATTGCTAACATCTATGCAATTAAGTTCTTCATGTCCAGCAGAGTCAATAGATCAACTGATGGTAGATAATTGCCTTAAAAAAAAACCAAGCTCGGTTTCAATGTTAGATTCGGGACATGAGCAACAAGTTCCAAATTCACTCAAAATGGAGTGAAATGGCTTAAGGAACCAGAAGACAGGAGAACAGCACAGTAGCAGCTAGGCTTCTATTTGCCCTGTGTTTAAATAGTGGTTCTTACGTATACTCCAAGCACTGTGATAGCAGCATCGTAGACTATTTTGAAGGTAGCAGTAGGCCTGGAGTCCATTTCCAGACTTAACATGATAGAATTTCAGGGATTTATATTAGAAAAGTTACAGTTCTGTTTAAACAATCTTAAGACTTTATTTTTTTAATTAATAGAGCATCATTATATTTTTATAGCAAGGTCTTTATAATGGTAATGGCTCTTTCAAGACCTATATCAGCATTGTAGTACCAAGTAGCTTATTTATGCATGTTGTATCAAAGGTGTACTTGTGTTTGTTTGCTAGTACGAATTCGGTGTGTCACTGAAAAGTTTTGGTGAAATAAATATCCATAATTATATAACTGACTTATTTCTCTTGAGCTTGTTGCAATTAGGTTATAATTAAGTTTCTTTTGAAAAAATAAAGTTGAGACAAGTAGGACAAAGCGTGCTAGGAGCAGAAACGTCTTAAGAAATTAGGCTACTTTCACTAGGCAAAGAACATTTTACTTGATTTAAGTGCATGTAGCATTGTTGTGCTAAATATTAAAATGCATCAAAACTACATGATGAGTATGTCACTTAAAGCTATGCAAGCACAGGTTCTAGGTTTTAAGTGCTGGTAATAGAGTTCAGGTCTGATAACTATTGAATTGAAAATGATGCTGACAGCAGGATTCCCATATCCATGCTCTGATGTACACCAACTTTTCAGTAAGCTCCCTTTGAAAAGGCAACAGAATTACTCTGGAGACTTTTCTGTGTGTGATTTCCTTTCCCAGTCAACTTAGGTTATTTATGGTCCCCATCAAGATAGCGCCCAATGCCTCACAACTTAATATACATTTGCCCTCAATTCTATTTGCAGAGTCCATTTTCGGAAGAAATTGAAGCATTAGGGCTTAAAGTTGCAAGAAATCTGTGCCAGGACAAAAAAACTTAGTGCAGGCATCAAGTTCCAAGCATACATCTTCTTAATTATTCATTCATTCTTTTACACAATGTGGATAACCTAGACAAGATCCTGTGCTGCAAAGAGATTTAATATGGCTCAAGAATTGTCATCTATGTTAAGTTTTCAGTGCTCTGAATTCTGTGCAATCCTGACAGCACGGTTAGCAGGAGATAGTGCTGCTTTTCATTAAATTATGGTAGCCTGTTATCTGTGGGGCTACCACCTCAATTTTGGCAATTGTCCTAGCTGTACTTGAACTGCAAACCTAGGTTGTTTTGCTCTGTTCCTGGACGAGGCTGAATTAATTGGATCTTCAGTGCTTTTATGCTGCTTTTCTACCTGCTTCAGTGTCTCAAGAACGGTTGAAAGTCTGTCCTCTTAGCTGAATGGCTTGAGCCTCTGGTTTGGGTATCAAGCTATTATTCTGGCACACATCAAAACATCAGTAGCTAAACCCTTGTTACTTCAAAAATGTCACTTTGTTTTCTGTATGACTGAACTCTGCCTTTCTTTTGTTTGGCTCAGCCTTTTATCTGTTTGGGACAATTGGATTTCAAGTAGTTTCTTATTGTTGAACCTTGTTGTACTTTATTCTCCACCAGAATAGTCAGCTGGTTTGAACAATTACTTGTTTAGTTTTTAGCACTAATGCTGGTGTTAGAAAAGAAAGTTTTGTGACATCAACTAGAATTAAGGCCTGAGGTTCAACTCCCCATGAATTCCAGATAGCAGTATGATTTCTCTAGCTATTGACTGAGTGGACTAAAGGGATTTAGAGTTCTAATGCATTTTTATCTCCTTGCACTTGTTATAGGACTCAGTCAACCAGAGAACAATTGTTAGAATATCTGTAAAATGCAAGTAGAATTAATTGACTGAGTGAAATAGCATGCAGCACACCACCTTTGCAATGTATGAATCAGCTTCAGGTAGACAGCTATGGAAGAGTCTAGAGTGAATGAAGTAACCTTTTTGATTGGCATGTTACACAACTTAGATTTCTCCAGGGTTTTTGAGTTCATGCTGTAACAGGGACATTATGAGAGGGTGCTATCTAAAAATAGATATTTATGTTATCGTTTGGGTGGAGCCAAATGGCTGCATTTCAGAAGAATTACTCATTTCAACGGTTAATACTTCCATCCAGTGATGCTGGCATGGCCTGCTAAGATGCTGGGACTAAGGAAACATTATGCTAACTTGTAGATAAGGACTGTGAGCTGTCCAGAGTCATACAGGAAGTCTGTGGCAGAGATGAGAATAGAACCAGGTCTTCTGACAGTGTCCTGTGCCTAATCATAAGACAATCCTTCTGACTGCCTTGAAGTGTTCTCTGAAAAGCATGCTAAGTTTTTTAGTGGGGGGGGGGAAAAAAAAAAACACACCTCAGCCTGACCAAGTTGTAGAGGCTTTAGAAAGAATTTACCAGATTTTTTTTTTAGCTAGTAATTGAGGGGGAATGCACAGAGGAACTGCTTGACCAGATTTTTTAAAACATTGTCAAAATACAGGTCTTGAACATGAGATCCAAGACTTACTCTGTCTTGACATCAAGGTTGCTTCCCGTAATCTTGTTTCAATGTTCTGTTTCATTGAGTTTCCTCAGGGCAAGTGCTTTTTTTTTTTTTTAAACATAGTATAGCACAAGGGAATAGTCAGCTTTCCATTAAAGCCAAGCAAATTTAAAAACTCTAATTCAAATAGTATGCTTAGTTATTGCAAGTAAATTTACTCTTCCAATGCTGCCTGTTATGAAAGTACTTTGAGAATCTTGTCTCAGCCAGCACTCCTTAATGGCAAATACTGACTTTTAGCAACTTTGCCTAGCACTGCAGAAAACATTTTACATTGTTAATCTACGTGGCAGTTTATTCCAATATGATAGGCTTCTATTGTAAATAGTTTTTCTTCCAGAGTAAATAAGACTTCCAAACCTAGTCCAGCTGTAGGAGTCGTTCAGAATCAAATTGAAGGATAACTTTCTAGAATTTAAAAAAAAAAATCTATGTTTTTGGTCCAATGTACTGCATAGAGTCTTCTTTTTCTTCCACAAATAAGGTTGAAGTGGTTCAGAGTGGACTGGCTTTATGGTATGATACAAATGCAGTTAAGTTTTAACTGCTGTGATTCTGGATGTGTATTCTTGAACTTAAGCCTGAAACCTGGAACTTGGATCAGTCTCTAAGGTTTATTTAAATCTAGCAATGAGTATTTATAGATGTTATCCGTCTTTTCCTAAAGAGACATTTGTTGGTTCCTGTTTAAGGCTTGTTACTAAGTCTTTGTCTAGCTTTTCCATTTAGCACAAAGTCTAACAAGTTGTGCTTTTTTAATCAAATGCACACTCAAAGCATTAAAATTGTCTCAAGTGTGACAATCTTGAATATCAATAACAAAGGGAAACAAAACAACAACTAGCAGGGAAAACACGTTTTGCTTAAATGTCTGATTTCATTCTAGTCTACAGCATAAAGCTTAAATCTCTGGAAAGCGTTTCAAAGTTTTAGATTTATTTTATTTTTAAGATACCATGATGAGCAACTGCCTAGGAGTTTATTACAGCATCTTCAATTTCGCTTAAGGATTCTTGCTTCTGAGTGATTTTCAAAAAGTATCTATTGAAATAATGGTAACTAGTTTAAACAGGCTTCAGATCATCGAGCAACATGCCTTCTGCAAAATATTTTGGGAACTCAGTTTTTTCTTTAACAGAAAATATACAGGTCTTATCTAAAAAGACAGATTTCAGTCTAAGGCCCTTGGCCAAGGTCCTTAAATTAGCTGCATCAGTTCCGAACATGAGGAGTAGGTAATTTAGACAAGTTGTTATACGTGTTGCATCAGGACTAAAATCTAGTTTTTCATAAATTAGAAAAATCCAAGCTAGTTATCTTTGGATTTTACTTAACTAGCTTGCTAGTCTAAAAACTCATCTACAAAGAACGTTGTTCACTGTTAGCTAGCGTTCAGTTCACCGAGGTAACTTCATTGGCAAAGTAAAAGTAGCATTTGGAAAATCCTTTTTACTCATAGTACAGGAATATTCTATGTGATCAGACCTCTAAATGTACATTTTGACATCTCAGATATCTAAATTCACCTTTGTGAAAGCTTTGCAAAGTTTCAGTTGATAGTAATTACCAGTCAGAACTGAATTTTGCCAGGCTAAGTAATTCTCTAAATTTCAATCTGAGCTTTTATTGTTTGATGTTACCCCTTTTGCCTACTCCTGATGCAACGGGGTTACCTCTACTCCTTCTTCCTATTTTCCGGAGTCCATTTTACTCAATACCTCTTCTTTCAGTTGTCTTTGATAGAAGCTTTCTAATAGGACTCAGTTAAACTGACTTGCTTTAACATTGTGTTAAACAGTCAAGAATTGTCAAGATTTGAGGTTTTCCTAGGCAATTTGAGAAAGCTATCACTAGAAAAAAAGCATAAAATTAGGAGAATTGTATCAGTTGATTCCTGAAGTTTAACAGAGTGAAAGCGTTTGCTGTTACGCTGGTCTTCATTCTGACCTAAGAAAGTGGAGAGCTTTTTATAAACATGCAGATGTCTGTCAAACTCCAATTCTACAAAATACTGGAAAATTGAGATTGGCCCTAGTATGGGCAAAAAAACTTACAAGTTTTTGGCTGGTGGTCACAGGTTGGCTCGCTCTTTTGAGAAATTAGCCGTTAGATGCTAATGTTACTTTTCTAATATTTACTGTAGTTACCATGTAGATGCAATTAAGTAAACAGGAAGGAGGCGTAAAGCTTGAGAGCTGCTGCAACAGGCCACGTGTTCAGCTGTTCTGAAGCATTAAAGCATTAGGAATATTTAAGGGAGAAATGGACTATTTAGCTAATTTTAAACGCTACTCATTATGTTGGATATTCTGCTTTGTAAGTTGTTCTAGTCTGGATGAAAAACAGGCTTTGAACAATGGAAGAGTATAACTTCTCACCATTTGGACTGACATTTTTGCTTTGTCAGAATTGAGCTCTTCTCATCTTTCACCACCAAGAGGAAGAGATACGGTTATGGTAGGAAAGGCCTGACATGTAATTGCTCCTGCTCCAAATTCTCCAACAGGAAGTAGAGGCAAGAACAGTGAATAAAGTTAGAATCTTCCTATCTAATGCTTAATAAAATTGTTTGAGATTGCTTTTGCTGGCTTAGGAAGTTTGTCATTTTAGATAGCTATAGAAGCTTCTAAACAGTGATAATCAGAACTAAGAATTGCCATAAGAATTTATCTGGGGAAAAAAAAAAAATCTAAGTTTCCTTTTAAATTAGACCACTAATGCTGAAACCAGCATTAGTACTTTGCTCTTTTGAATGGATATTGCATCTCATTACTGATGATAGCTTTAGTGCTGTCAGTTTATATCTAACCTAGACACGTTGCATAAAGTTGTATGCTTTCTTATTGAAAAAGGTGTAGCTCAGTAATTCGTGAGTATAAATATACATTTAAGACTTTCTTTTTGAAGAAGAGTGCAGGTAAAGTTGCATCTAGCAACAGAATTTTGGTGTTTAGCTCGGTAACTTTTCCCTTTGAAACTTACACTAAGTGTTTTTTCCTTAATGCAGTCATGTTTGTTGTTTCTCTTGATTTGTATATGTATCAGAGATAAGATTCCTGTATGTGATAGCTTTTTTTTTTTTTAATTACACAGGTCGGAGATATTGTGAAGGTTACAAGGATGAATATAAACGGTCAGTGGGAAGGAGAAGTCAACGGTCGAAAAGGGCTGTTCCCATTCACGCATGTCAAAATAATTGACCCTCAAAACCCAGACGAGAACGAATGATTCCCTTTGCCTGATTCACACTGCTGCTTCATTTTCCTGGCTATCATTAGCATTGTTTGAGGTGGGATGGTGACTTAATGGCACATTGCTAGCATTGCCCATTTTCCAGCTTGCTGCAGTTTGACAGTTCTTTTAATATACATTTGGAATACATTACAGCTGAAGTCACTGCCTGACCTTCATACCATAGTTGCATCATCCAGAATATAGGTTCACTTTTAGAACTGTATTGGGCCTTAAGCTGGAGAAGACTGAACCATACAGGTATATAGGAGACACATATTGTGGGGGGAGGGGGGGAACCTTTCCTGTTGAGACTTCCATGGACTTGTTCTGGCCTGCTCAGTAAGAAGAGCCCTGACCTTAGATCAAACATAAAACTTGTGCATTACTGTTCAACAAAAAGCAACAACAAAAATGCAATTTTAGGTCTGAAGAAGACTTAGTTTTAAGAGAACTTGTCCTAAGGTAGTACATTCAAGATAATGGTCTCTTTAAAGGACAATAATTGAAGCTTATGTATTCTAAGCAGTTATAGTAGAAGCTGCTCTTTTGTGATAACTTTTAAGCTTGTTGTTGACCTTCCTGAAACAGTGTGTGTTAAATGCAAATAACCATTGATTGAGCTGCGTTGAAGCCGAGGCATTTATTTATAAGGAAACTTAGGAGGAGTTGATATTTTTAGCCTGTTATTGACATACTTAAGGCATTTCTGTTGACTTTGCAAGCACTAAACGTAGAAAGCGAGCTTTAAAGGGAAACACTTAGGCCTGGTCTACACACAGCTCTTCTGCAATGTTAAAGCATAGTTTTACTAAAATAGAACTGCTCATCACCAAGCTGTTGCTTGGTGGACAGATTGATCAGATTGCCATGGTATAGAGAGGTAGGAAAGGAGCGCTACAGAAGAATTTGATAAATACTGATAAAATCCTCTTATTTAAACATAAAACCTTTTATACCCATTTCTCTTCAGGTTCCCTTCTCTCTCTAAAGTTTCCTAGGGATGCCAGCCCCAGCTTGCTTAAGGCTCTTTCTCAAACACAGTACCTTTTTCCCCAGGGTGTCTCCATGTCTCTGCTTCTTCTTGCTTGCTTGCATCACAAACTGCTTGCATGTTGCCATCTGTTTCCCCCCTCCCAAATGCTCTGGCTTATATCAGCCCCAGATCCCTCCCACTCCCAGCATCCCCTAAAAAGTGGTTAATTGGAGTCAGCTGCTTGGGTTCCCCCATATGGTAAATTTAGGCTCAGGTTGGAGGAAGCCACAAAGGTGTCCATTACTAGTATAAGCTTTTTTCTGTACTTCAGGTGTACTGCTGTAATTGTATCTACAGTAGGGATTTAAATGGCTGTAGCTGCATGAGTACAGTTAAAACCCTGCAGCTTAAGTCCTTAACCTGCATACGGGACATAAAAGCTTAGGTGCAGTGGCATCTTTTGCTGCCTTCCTTAAACATGTTTTCTAGATGAACTGGAATGCTCTTTTAAAAAATAATTGAACACTGAATTAACAGAACACGTGTATGCAAAGACTGTACTTGCAAAACCTCCCTTTTCAAACATCCTGGTTAAAGAAAAATCTGTTGCCGAAGCTGACAGTAAAGCAGCTGCCCTGATGCATTCATTTTTCAATGTTTGAAGACTGTCAATTGTAGCAAAATGAAAAAGTACAGCTACTTGCAGAATTTTACCATTTGTTATATCAAATTATGTAGAACTTATCTTAAGTTACAGCATGTATTCTTGTTGATGTGGGTCTCTTGATCCTAATAAAAGCAAGTTGTTCTTACCTTCGTATTGAAGTGCCATGAAATCCTTAAATGGGAGGCACTGAAGAAATGCAAAAACAGCATTTACAAGAAGAGACTTAAAATGCTGTTTTAAAGAAAAGTTCCTCATTTCATCTATTAGCTGTTTTCTCTAGTGTTGATCAAGTGGCTGACAGTCTCTAAGTTCTTGTAGAGCATTTTACTGCCAAATAATTAACTGTGAAGTAGAGTAGCATTGACTGAAGTGTTTGGTGCTGTAAGAATAATTATTGACAATAGGCATTGCCAGTTTGTCTTGCAATGAAAAGCTATGCAGCTATCTTAACTAAATAAGGTCACTCTTATTTCATGCCCCAACTCCACCTATAAGTAAGTTTACTACATAGATTGTACTACTGAAAGTCATCTTGTGAATACAGAAACTGCACTAAACTCAGTCTACTGCAGAGAAATCTTGTTTCAGACCTGACCTAGTTATAGGCAGCTGTTTTCAGAAGACTGATTGTAGAATTCTTCCTTTGCTTATTAAAGTCCATAAATACTGTGAGATGTGAGATCTTGGACACAGCTTTTTAACTTGGATTATTTTCACTAAAATAAATGTCTTGATGCTTTCCAAACATTCAGTAGGGTATACACTTTGAACACAAGCATTGTTTTAAGTTTAATTAACGTTCTGATACTGCAGAAAAGCAAAACATTTTCCTTCAAAACTATGCAAAATTTGTGTGTAGTGGCATCTGACACAAAGATAAGAATTCTTAAATTTCTGTGAACTGGTTTTGGGCCACTGATGAGCAGTGTTTTTCTGGGTAGCAGAGGTGTGGTTCGCTGATGTTACATGTGGTTTAAATGTAGCATACTGAACAGGCTAAGCTGACTGTAAACTTGCATCAAAAAAAAATGCGTCCTTGCTCTTTTACTGTAAGACAAGTATTTTGATATAAAGACTGCATTTGATCAGTCTGGGTTTCTCTTTGAAGGACTCTCTGGTTTCTCAATCACTTCTGCTTGCTTATGTATGTGCTGTCTGTTACTTTATGAAGCCTTTTAAATTTGAGTGATAACCTATCAGTGTAAGTGTTCCTTGAGCGTATAAGGTATACTTGATATGAAGCATGAGAGTCTATCAAGTGATGGCTTCAATCTATGCACCATTAAAGTTGTTCATGCTTTTGAACTAGCAGCTGGTTTAATTACCTGGTGCCACAGCAGTTAACTATCATGAAAGAAAGGCTTACTGTTTGACTTCCTCCTGTTGTGTACATGTGTAAATATACATTGAAGCCTCTGACCAGTCGGAAAGTTTAAATGAAAACTCTTTTAATCAGTGTCCATCACTGGATAAGCGCTAACTTAATTCATGATTGTTTACAAATTGGGAAAGAATAAACAAAAGGGAATATCCTGTTTGGGTTGGGGCTCTGAAGAGCCTGAGCATTATTTTTGTAAAGGGAAAAACAGCATTCTTTGTGCCATTTCATGTGCCTGTAATGTAATTTTTTATATTGTATTAACATCCTGGGAATGAGTGGGCTGCCTTTGTTTTCTAGTCAAGTTTTCAAGCATTTTTCTCAATACCTGCATTTGAAAGTGAGACCCACCTAAAAGACTGCCTTTTGGGACCAGTGAAAGCATTCTTTTGTAGTTGTCATTTTCTGTTTACTAGTGTTAAATGTGTTTTGAGGCAAGGAAACAATTATTGAAGTGGGAAAGGTGGCCTTGTATTTGAGACAGTCTTCACTGTGTAAACTTTAAAACACAATATGTAATTTAAAGACCATGAACTTCAGGCAATAATATTAAGTGTAAGCTTTTAAAGTTTATTTTGGGGATCATAGCTTGTTTTATTTTTTGTGCTATAAAATTAACAGTATTAAATGAATTATATTCTTAGAATATATGGAGTGTCTTTTCTTAAGATTAGTGCCTTTTTAATTTCTTACTCCACTTATTTCATAGAACTGGTCCCAACATCAAGCCACTGTTTTTTTTTTTTTTTTTCAGTGCCCTGTTTGTACAGTCTAAATAAAACTTGCATCAACTTACAGTATTACTTGTTGTCTTTAGTTGTAAAACTTTTCTAATATTAGCAGAGTATTTAAATTCTTACTCTGTCGTTATTATGGCCTGCTTTGTGGGTAAATGAGAGAAAACTGAAGTTTTCCAGAATCAGTGCAAGAGTTAAGCAGGAGAAAACACTGTCTTCAGCCTGAGTGATGCTCCCCGATTCCATCCCTCTGCCTCTGTTCTCAGACTACTGCTGTGCTTTGGAGGTGCACAAGGAAAAGCCCCATCGCTATTTATATAGAGAGAGTAGCGCTGGGCCCCCCACCTCATACCCAACCCTTGAATGCTCTTCCTGTCACTGTATTTAGCTCTGCTCCTTTGTAGAGGCTTTTAAAGTCCTCTGTAGAAATCATAACCTCCTTTTACTGTGATAGGTTTACTTGACTGCGCATATAAGAATTACTGGTTTAAGTGTACTGTTATGAATTTATCTTAATTTTTGTTTGAGTAAACAAGGCCTAACTGATGCACAGAGGGAAAATAAAACAGCTGGCATTTTATACACTGTTGAAGCTGGCAGCATCATGCATTATAAGTATTATGCCACCTGAGTAGATCAAAAACAGGAGGTCTGCTTTTTTTTTTTTTTTTTGGCAGTCAATTTAGATCAAGAATAGCAATAACTAGCACTTTTATCTAGGTGTGTTTTTTTTTAATGTTTGATATCATTCAGTTAAATCAATAACAATACATTGGAACTTGATGATCCTATGTAGGAGAAAAACTTAAGAGGAACATTGGACACTTAATTGTTGCAAGTGAGAAATATAAAAAGCTTGTATTGTTTTCTCAGCCTCTCTTTGTGGGTACAATACAGTCTAGTGTTTGCCTTCTCTGAAGTATAGATTTCTATTATATTTTAATAAAAGTTCATAGCCAACTATACAGTGTCTTATGGACAAATATTCACATTTGACATACTACATTTCTTCAGAGAAAACTATTAGTATTTCAGGTACACAAGCAAGTACAGGTGAAGCGCATCTAGCACAAGGGTTTGTGAACCCTTGTTTCAAATTATTTTGCGCACCTGTAGCTTGCTAGCAGAAGATGAAAGCGTTAGCTGTTCACTACAGCAGCTTCTCATGACATCTTAAGGAGCTTTTCCTTTACTAATTATGCTGCAAGAAATGTCCCCTGCTAACACCAGCAGTCTGTGTCCTACAAACTAAATTACAACCATGGTGCATAAACAGCGTTACTCCTATTTGTGGTAGGATGCCCGCAACACAAGCGAACGAAGGTGCTGCACGTCCTTTCTAAAGAAAGGGCAGGCCGTGAACCATCGACCTACTGCGAACAGTGACCTTGGCTCGTTTTTGTTCTGGATGCTTGACTTCCTCTGATACTAAACTGAGGCTTCTACATACATTTGTATTAGGCAATGGGAGACAAAGCACTTTCGTAACAGAGGGTTTGGGGAAGTTAATTATAGCAGTGTTCTGTGCAAGAGGGTTGCCCCTCACTTCTGCCTCTTCAAAACGCATCAGCCGTCAGTAAACGTAGGTCTGAGCTCTTAGTCGTATGTGAGGCCACAAAAAAAAAAAATCTAGATTTCCTCATTTCATGATAACTTGCATGTGCTAGAAATACCCTGTTCTACCTGTTGAGCTAAGAGTGCCTTGCTTTACTGTGGCAGAGTCTCATTATTGGGCAGGATAAATTAAGAAGCTCGAGCAGGCTGCAGCAACGAGGACGCAAGCGACTGTAATTTATCTCAGCATGTTGAAGTGCAGGCTGCTTCCTGCCTGCCCTCCAACAAATCCTCGGGAGCACATGCTTTCCTCTACCTGTAACTGAGCCTGGCCTCTCTGTGTCTGACTTGCTGCCCCTGAGGCTGATCAGGATCAATGTCCAGGTGGAGGGAGACCACTGCTCTTAAGTAACTTTTGCACAGGCTCCCCGGCCCCCCCCTGCCTGCAGGCAGGCTTCAGGGTCTGCAGCAGGAGTGCCAAACATAGCAGCTACCTAAAACTCCAGCAATACCCAAGTTTACTCAGTGTACCGTCACAGGTAAAGTGAAATAAGCAGTACGTTGAGCTGGGTTTATTGCTGATTATGGACAATTAGGTTTACCTGTGCACAAAGTTTTACTAGTTTAAGTTTAAACCAGTTAGGTCAGTCCAAACAGCAAGCAGCCTAAGCCTTAATTTTCAGGTGCAAGCTGGCTGTGATGAGCTAGGCTTGCCAGTTTGTCACCCTCATTTAATTAATTAAACCAGTGCAATAGTAAACACACCTTTAGATTTAACCAAATATTTGCCTGCACAAGCTTACACCAACAGAAAACATGTTCAAATGCACGGAAATAAAATACTGTTACAACAAATGAACAGGTCTATTAAAACAAGTAATTTTTAACAGGATTTACAATGAGTGCAACTGCACGTAGAAAAGATCTTAGGGTTCAGCGTCACCAGCAGGGATGGCTCACCTTGGAGCAGCTGTAGCAATTTCTGTCCCTGAGTGGGTCCTCTGCCCTTTTTTTTTTTTTTTTTTTTTTTTTCAACACCAA